ATGCTGCTAATTTTCAATCACGGTGTCAGATCCTCTCCTACCGCAGGGAGAGCAACTGCTTAGCCTGTGATTTACCCAATTTATTCCGGTAATAACCGGGCTGGCTGTGTAGCCATCTGTCTGTTTTACGTGCTCCTCCTGCCCCCAGCCTCTGCCACCGTGCGGACAGAGCGCTGTCTCAGTCCTTGTGACAGCGGGGAGAGGAGGCATCATTTCACCCCAGCGATGAAGGGGGTCTCTGTGTGCTTGGAGAAGGGCACCAATGTTCCCTTCTCTTCTCTGCCCAGAAAGAGCAAGCAATGCAGCCCCTCTCTTGTGACCTCTGGGCACTGGAGCTGCCAGGCGCGCTGCCAGCCGGGCTGCTCCCTGCGTATATTTCCACCAGGCAGGGAAGGAAAAACCCATTCTCGGTAGGGTATGGTGGGTTAGCAGGGTCTCAGCATCGCTCTGGCCCAGGCTGGGAGAGCTACGGTCACTTTGAGAGGAGGAAACTGAGTCAGAGAGCAGTGAGGGGGAGGACCTGGCTCTTGTGACAGGCTGAGCTTGTCCCTGCTGTCCCCTGCTCCTGCTGAGGTCACACAGGGGGAAAGAGCCAGAGCCAAGGCTGGAGCCCAGGCTACAAAGCCTGTTGCGTGTTTTACCCCTATGGGAGAACCAGGATCATGGCCATGAGTAGGACGGAGGGCTTGGATCTGGAGACAGAGACCTGAGTCCTGCTTCCCATTGCACGGAGTAAATCCTCTGTGCTGCAGTCATGTATCTGAGGGCAGAATTTCATTTTGCAAAAATAGCGAGTGGAAAGACAGATGTTAGCCTGAAATTGGGTCCGTAAATATGAAAAGCGTCGTGGTCGCATGCCTCTGTCTGTGAAGATAAACACTGTACTGACTGGATCTTTATAAAGCCTTTAATTGGAGAGCCAAGTCCTCTGTGCCCTGTGTAATGTTATTCAAAGAGGCCTGCACGCAACTCCTTCAAAGCAGATGTTAGACAGGGTACAGCCCTAGATCAACAGTCATTCAGGATCAGAATTGCTTGAAACCGCTGGGTAAAATCAAATATAAATAGAGCAGAGAGCATTTGAAGCAATTACGATCTCGGGGGAGATTCCTTCCCTGTAACAAAGCCAAGAAAAGGGGGGACGATGCATCATTTTTGTAATGCAGTGAGGATATGTAGAAGCTGGATTACTCAGAAAACTCTGAGCAGTACGTATGGTTCATGTTAAACCACCTAAACTTTCTATCTCTGATGGTTTCCCGTGGCTTTCAGTGCTCTACAGACTGTAGCCTGGCAATTGCCTCCAGGAGACAACACAATATTGGAGGTAAACAGGAGTTGTGTACTTCTTGTGCACACCAAAACACTGAATTTTCCTGCTATCTTGGTAGTGCTGTAGCACTGCACAGACAAAAGCCCCTCACTTTGAGGAAACCAGCAAATCATTCAGGTCCTCAGAGAAACCTGTTGGTATCATGAAGGCTTTGCCCTGCATCTCTGGAGCCCACCTGGATGGTCCCACTGCAGGCATGTTGTCTTCCCTCAGGGGTACCAGGCTGCTTTTCCCAAGGCTGCTTTTCTGTAAATGAGGCATTTGCTACCAGATTTCCTAACTCAGCAGTTCAGAGGAGAATGTGCACTGTAATTGTGGGTCATATCCTATCTCTTTGTGCCTCTGCCCATATGCTTTTGGCTTAGGGCAGTGCTGCCCGAGTGCGTGACTACAAACAAGGTATTTAGTCAGGCTTCACACCTCACATCTCTCCTCCGGGCAGCTTCACCCGTGTGCCAGGACGTGTGACAGCTGTGCCCCTGTGCAGAGCCCAGAGAGGAGCCTGAGCTTCATGAGGGAATGGCATGGTGCTGGCATGTATGATACACTGTGCAAGAGTGGGATTGCCTTTTTCCCTCTGAAAAACCAAAAGTCTCTTGATCCTTTAGTTGCTCTGCCCTCTGGTAAATGACCTGGGCTTAGCCTGCAAGAAGCAGGGATGAAAACATGCAGCGCATAGCTCAGGTTGTTTATTACGTGGGGGCAAAATTAAAGCAGTGAAGGTGGACCTGCTACCTTTGTGGATTACAGGGTGTGATGCTGGGAAGTCACCTCATGGGTAAGGCAGGATTGAGGAGGATGGAAACCCCTGATGGTGCAGTGCCCCACAGGCAATGCAAAGCCAGCAGCCCATTTTGATCAAAGCAGACATCCTTGTGGGAAAGCCTGCCCAAAGAGGAGATGCTGCTCCAAGAGCATCCTGTGGCCCACCAGCTAATGACACTGTAATCTGTCACAGCATGGGATTAACCAGCACAATATTACTGGCCCTGATGACTTCAAAATCCCAAATAAGGCCCCCGATTTCACAGCCCCATCTTAAAAACAAACAAAACAAACAAACAAAACCAAAACAAACAAGAAAAAATAACCAAGATTAAAAACTGCAGTTTGAAGTCTGATTGCTTATCTTCTATTTCGGTTCTTAAAATCTTTGGCTACAGCTGGGGCACATTTTCAGCTTCCCTTCGCATCGCAGTTGCAAGCTCACAATAATTACTGCCAAGAAGGGAGTTGCTTGGTTATTTATTTTTTGAAGGAACCTGAGATGTTCATGTATTTACATTTACAGGGAGGGGGGGGACTAACACTTCTCCAGGCCCCGGGAGTTTGTTAAAAATTGCAGGAGCCACTGATATGATAACAGATTAACCTCAGACCGAATTATGTGCGTGGTTACTGAGCACCCCGTCTAAATGAGTGGAGATGCCTTTTCAAGGAACCCTGCACGTTTGCAGATGTGCCGACAGAGCAGTGTTTCCATTGGAAATTTTGGTGAGGAAGGAAAAAACGAAGAGGATGGTTGGACGTCTCATCTCCTCTCAGGAGGACTGGGCCACACTTTGGTCAGGGTGGCTGGAAGCCGGGACACCAAATGGCCGCCGGCCGTCTCTGTGGGGCTGAGGGGCTGAGCAGGAGTGGGAAGAGGCCCCGAGGGAGGCCCCACGGGGCTGCCTGTGCTTCACGGAGGCTGCAGCTTTGCGTGCTGTGGTCCTGTCCTCCCCTTCTCCTCTCCCAGCTCTTCCATGGAAAAGTGGAGAGCTCGCCCCCAGGAGAGGCTCAGCACAAAGGCTCCTTTGAGGGAACTCAACAGCGGCATTTTGCTGGGAATTTATGGCCTCTAGATACTGCTCTGGGTTTGAATGCAGAAGAAGGGGCAGGAAGAACTGAAGAGAAATAAAAAGGGGGGACAGCTTGGACAGGACAAAACAGGAGCAGCCCACATGTCACATTGGCACCCCGCATCTGCCCACCACACCCAGCTGGTGCTTGCGGAGAGGCCCAGAAGAAGCTCCTGGTTTGTAGAAGAGAATGAATATATGGGGTTTTAGAGCCCTAAGGGCTGGTTTGCTGGAAATCTTCCCAGTTGCCTCTCGGGGAGGTTGGTGTCAAGAGGCCAGACTTGCAGGTGGGCCGAGAACCTGGCAGACCCTTGGTCCTGTAGGATTTGTACCCAATGTCTTGGGCAGGCCAGGCCTGCAGAGGAAATTGCCCAAGCAAGGCTAACCCCTGGGTCGTGTGAGCACAGATGGCTTAAAAATGAGGTAACGAGACCTCACAATACCACACCTGTGACCAAAACCATGAGCACTCCTCCCCTGGGCCAGCCAACACATAGGAGCTGCCAGGCTGCACCCAGAGCAGCCACCCTCGCTGGATTAGATGGAGTTGTGCCTGACTGACACCTGTGAAACACTTTGGGGAGAATTACAGAAATATAATGATCCTTCTGCTTCTGGGGAGGATTTCCCAAAGCTCCTGGCTAATGCAGTCCAACTTCACACTTCTCTTTACCGCTTCTGTTCGGCAGACAGCACCGGGTGCTGTCGGCTGGGTGGCAGGGTTAGCTGACCCTCGGGGTTAAAACAGAAAATCAGGCCCTTCAGAAATAATAATAAAAAAAAATCCTAAAAAGAAGAAAACAATAAAAGAATCCAGCAGTTGATATTTAAGGTGTTATGAGCTGCTTTTCAAAGCCTGTGTTTGCCTGTGCAAGAGCAGAGGTGCCTTCCTCAAACAAAGCTGGAGAAAAAAGCACCGTCCCCCGAGTTCGGGGTGCTCTGGAGGGCAGCCACGCTGAAACTGTGATTAAGTGTTTTGGGCCATGCCTTTCACTGCAGCCTGCCAGATAAATATTTACAGCTGACCACGGAGAAGTGGGGGGAAGGAGAGGAGAGACATCTGTAAATTCTTTGGAGCCTTGCCGTCTTTTAATTTTAATTATTTTTTGTTGCTTTTCCATCCACAGATCATTGTCTCTTTTTCTCAGCCCACGGATCACTAAAGAAGGGATTTTTGTGAGAAAGAGTTTATTTCTAAAGCCTCAGGAGCCAGATCCTGATTTTAATGGCTGTGGTGTAAACTCCAGAGCTGCGATAAACCAACCTTGTGAAGAGCAGACAGCAACCTTTGGTTTACTAACCAGTGTGAATCTGATGTAACGTTATTGATCTCGGTGGATTTACTCTCTGTCTCCTTGTCTCCTCCCTTGTTTTCTTTGCAGTTGTCCTTACCCATGCAAAATCAGTGCCTATGTGGCTGTAAGAAGCCAGTAAATCATGGTGCTACACCCACTTCATGTGGGTATAAATGACTCCCTCAGTTTGGCCTCTAGTCTGAAAATAAAGCAAGTCTTCATGCCCAGTAGGACAGCTGATTATCAGCAGCACAGAGCAAGGCTCTGAAAGATGTCCATAAAGTCCTCCAAAGAGGGGGCAACCAGGAAGGACTTGTGGAAATGAAGGCCCTCAACCCTGGGGGCTCTCTGCATTTTGACGTATGAATATATACGTCCTGCTCGGAAACATATGCAGGAATCTGTAGCTATAAAAGCCACCGCACCACCCTGTAATCCAGCCCAGATGTGCCTCTCCTTTCATGGCGCACTCAAGGGACCCCTGTGAGCCGAGGCAGGCAGTGATTGAAAGCATTGTTCGGATTTACTCACCCAAATGAAAAGAGACCCACAGCAGACTGCTCGCAGAGGTCCAGAGCGAGGAGGCTGGTAGGAAGCATTGGCTTCAAGAGGGGCACCAGTGTGAGAGCTGATGGATGCTGGCCTGTGCTGTCATCAGATGCCTTCTGAGGTCACCAGCACAAGCCAGGAGCTGGGTGAGCTTTGGCCTCTCTGAGCGACAGGCGTTAGAGCGTGCAGTGCAAACCCTGGTTGTGCTCGGGCTCCCAAAGCTTGGTGCAAAGAACGGTGCAGACAGCTGAGCCTCTGGTGATTCAGGGGGGTTACTCGCCTGCTTCAAGGCTTTAAACCTGGGAAATGGCATCTGAGAAATAAGATGCCGGGCTGGACTTTGATGCTGACCTGTCTGGGAGAACAGGGGAAAGACTTCATGGTTTGTTGTGGGTTGTACTTGCAAGCGAGACACCAGGATCTGCTCCTCCCCACGTAGTAGCTTATATGAGGACAATCAGAGATTTATACCCTCTGTTATCGGTGACCTTCTAAGTAGCCAAAAAGTAGCATTTCAAAAACTTCGGCACTCACTGCAGAGTCATCTGGGAAGTTACTCCTTCTGTTACTGTCATAAAGCTGCAGAGCTCCAAATAGAAAGCTCAGAGGCAAAGGTCTCGTCCCCAGGGCTCCGCAGTCTCAGTGCAAAGAGTATGGTTATAAAGCCAGTCACAGAGTCCGGGAAGTAAATTTATGGCTGGGAAGATGGATAAATAATACGCCAAGATCAACAGCAGTGGTAATGTCAGAGTGTACTGAGCGGAGTTGCTCTGCTTTTACAGCGCTGTGACCGCTGGGCAACCTTGGACGTGAACATGCCAATTGCTAGAGCTTGCTGCGGAGTCAAGGCCCCAGCATTTGCTCCACCTCCACCTGATGAGATTTCGGCTGCCTTAATGGGAGGGAGCAGAGACTGATTTCCCCAGCATGGCCTTGCTCGTGGGGTCAGTGCTGGGTTGGGACAAGCACTGGGGCTTTATAGTCACACTCTCACGCGTTACCTCCCCAAAGCTCCCAATGGTGATGTTACCTCGTGGAGCGCTGACAGGGCTCTAACTCTTCTTTTGTAGACCATCTGGAAGCCTCTCGGGCCTCCAGATGTGACGAGAGAGGGACTGGGCTTTGTGTAGCTCTTGGGTGTTTGAAGGAGGCAAGAATGAAAATCTTTATATATATTTTTTTTTTCTTCTCCTCTCAACTTTCCCATCCTTTTACTTACTTCTGATTGATTTTCTTCTCCCAGTCTGGAGAGTAAAGTCACTTCAATATTTACTTCATTCTGTTCCTGCCACGTCTGTTGAGCATGCCCTAGGTCATCCCTGCCAGTGGTAACCGAGCTCCTGAGGGGAGAGGAGAGCTTGTATGTAGCCTCAGAACAAGGCAGCAAAGCAAAGAACTCAATCCAGAGCCTGAACCTCCAGTGGAGAAGAGGGAGCCGGGGGTCTGCAGCCCTGTCTGACCCCCTGTCCCATCTCCTGGTGCTCAGCCAGGTCTTCCCACTCATCAGGGCCACCCGAGGCAGCCGCGACTGTGCCCATGCACCCTGGCACCGCTGCCTCCTTGCCCCAGGTGTGTAGCTGAGAAGCAGCTGGAGAGCAAGTGCTTTGGGGACAGCTGAAAGGATCCTGGAAAATTACCACAGGGGAACCCGTAAAGGGCAGCATGGGACACAGCGTTCTGCTCAGCCCTTCTGCTTGTGTTAAAGCACCTACATCTGCCTGAACACTGGTGCTTCCCTCTGCCTGCTGACACCAAGCAGCCAGGGGCAGCACGGTGTGCACCCAGGGGATGGGGAGATTTGGGGATGCCCCATGTCAGCCCGTCTCACCGCAGCGTGTGCTGGGTCAGGTTTCAGGGCTTGTGATCTGCTAGCATGTGTGTGTTTTTAACTCACTCAGCAGTCTTTCCAGGAAATTATTTTGTGTCAGATGATGGGGTTTTATCCTTCCTTTGCTTTTTGGAGGGCAGGGGTTGGAGGAAGCTGTTGATTCGATAAGCTGCAGCTATCGCCCTGCTATTCCGGCCCGATGGCTGTAAGTGCCTGGTGCAGCTCTTCTCCAGGCAGCAAGCTGTGAGGAGCAAGGTCCTGCTCACAGCTTTGGGCATAGGTGGCAGGAATTAGCCTAGAAAAGCATCTTGGCTGTTGAACTGCATTTGGGGATCCTTCCCACTTTCTTCTCCCTTACCCCATTCACTCCTTTAGTTCCAAATTTTGACACACTGCTGGATTGATGCATTGGCAAACTGTATCTCCATTAAAAAACGTAGGGGAGAAACTGAAGATCTTGTTACTGAGCAAAAGGCAATTGAGCAGGCAACTGGGCAAAAGGCAATATGGAAGCAAGGAAAACACAGGAAATTGTCCTGGCATGGACGTCTGAGCTGAATATTTCTGCTAAAATGCTAATCAGTCAAGCAGTGTTACTTGTGGTCCCAGAAATGAACAACTTAATATGGAATAAAGGCCTTTCTACCCCTTGGAGCTGCTTCAGGATCTCTTCAGACTCAGGAAGACAACATTACTTTAAATAACCTCATCTCTCCCTTTGAGCCTGCTTTCATATAGACATGCAGTTGAGCTCCTCACCTTCAACAGCAGTTGGTATTCTGGAGTTTGAGTCATGGCTTACAGAATGGCAAGGATGAGAGAGAGGCAAGGATGAGTGAGAGGAATTTCCCAGGAATTCACACTAAGCACAAACCATGGATTCCTCTTACATCAGATTTCACTTTCTTTGAGCTATGACTTGCTTTAATTTCTTGCCCCAAATTGCTAATCTACAGCCATAATGCTGGACCAGGGAAGCTGTGTTTAAGAAGTGGGTGGGTGATGCATTGGTGATCAATGCTTTGTTCAAAAAGGCTTTGTATCCCTTCAGCTCGGTGGCTGTCAGAGGCACGTGGACTCAGATGTACAGCTACTGCAGTGTCAGTACAAAGCTACAAAGAAGCTAAACTGAGGAAAAAAAAAACTAATTATCCATAAGTTTTCATTTCTGAAACAAAAAGGGTGCAGAGGCTGTGAATGGTGTCATTCAACAGGCAGAGGATTTCTGCTTGGAGAATGACTTGGGATGAAGAGCACATAAAGGGACAATGAAATTGTGAGCTGCTGTTGAGACAGAACGCTAGAGTGGCAAAGTCATTGGTGCCTTGTTATTTTTTCACTGTCAACAGCTGTCTGTGAAAACCACAGGCAAAGTGTCCAGAGCAGGCTTACACAAAGTATGACAAATAGCTATTGCCCTTGCTTATTTTGCTAGTTCAAGGGCAGAGATCTATGTAACAGATCTCATAGATGTGACCCTGCTAATGGTCCCCGGGGATATGAGAAAGATATCATGCAATACAATGTCTTTCCTTTTCTCTCACTGTGCTTTAAAAATAAACAAACGCTAAAATTGCTTACAACCGCTTCCTGTCCCTTCTTCTGAACAATTCATTCTTTCACCGGGACTTTCAATTCTTCTGTTTATCAGTTTTTGAGCGGTCACAATTTTTATGACGTTCTTTCACCAGAAAGGCTTTGTGCACGTGCGTGTCTCTGTGAGGTTGCACATTGTGCATTATGTCCAGCTTGGATCTCTCTGATGTCCATCGTCAGTGGCAGGGGAACAATAGCGTGGCGGGTTCAGCAGGATGTGTGCGCGTCTGTGTGCGCGTACGTATGCAGTGGAGGTACCATGCTGCAGATCAAAGGGAAAACGAATCTCTAAAATGTTTAGTTTATAAAGTATATTGTTGTTGCACTGCTGCCCAAGGTCTTCAAAGGAGCCCAGATTTATTGCCTCAGCACAGTTCAGAGATACTTGCTGCAGATTAAAAATGGATGAAATAGGAAGGGGGCCAGGCGTGTAAATTACTGAGTAAAAATAGGAGCTGTACATTTGTTTGCTATATGAATTTGGGTTTTGTTTTCTTTTCCCCCGCTGGTGTTTTTTCCCCTCCCCCTTTACGTTCGTTCCTTAGAGCCACGGGGTCAGGTCTGTGCTTTCTTGTGTGGCCACATGGAGTATGTCCTGACAGCTCTGCTATCTCTTAGGTAGAAACTGAGATTATCCAGGCATGGCTCTCGGAAAGGAAAACTCACTACAGGCAAATCTGCTTCGCTTTTATTACTGGAGGTACCGTTTAATCTCAGCCCCTGACTGTTTCTCTCCCCACAAGTCCTTTGCTTGGAGAAAAGTTATCAACTCAACACATGACAAAGAAATTAACTCTCCTTTCTGGCCACAGATTTTAAAGCACTAAAATATGACTTCTTTTCATCTTTCCTTGCCTGCACTGAGCTTTTTTTCCCCCAGTTCCAGTGAAAAGATAGAGGAATATTCAAGCCACCACGGTCTGGCTTTGCCCAGGAAAGGAGCAGGGCTGCTCACACCCAGCACTAAGAGTAAACCTTAAACTGCTTTTCCTTACCACCTCATCTTGATAACCTCCTAGGCAAAATGTGCAGGCTGCGTCCTCACTGGGATGCTGGGTATGGTTTGCAAGGCAAAATCTCTGTGTCATGCAATCAGTACAGACAGAGCTTCCTCCTCCAAAAGTTCACACTGCAGATAGAGAAGAAGGTCACAAGGTGGGAGATACAAGTCCAGAGAGGGAAAGTGAGGTACTAATGGATTTTGAACCAGAACTAGCACTAAGCCACTTGCGCCCCATTTTATGGCTGCAGTCACTGAGTCATACTGTCTTTGTCAGTTCTTTGAAGGTCTCCCCAGTCATCCAAAAATGCATGCTTTACAATGTAAATTCCCCTATGCAACTCCTTTCTAGTCCTTTCTAGCAGCCTTACAGAGTGTTTTTTTAAGGGCCAAGATTCAGGATCCTACATCCTCTTGCCCCATGTTTGAGGGGATCATTGCCTTCATGCTAAACGTGAGCCCTAGCTGTGTGACACGTACAACAACAACTATGGAGATAAACACATCATCCACACTGTGACCCTGTTTGGTTTCAACACCCCCAGTTTGGGATGCTTTGTGCCAGTGGAAGACATGGTTGAGCACACTAGGAGCTCGGGGATGTCAGCTAGCATCTAGTAGCTCTCAGCTGAAGAGCTGGAAGCGATGCCCATCTTGCCAGTCACCAGGGACCCTCAGACACACCTCTCAGCTGTGTCTGTGGTGGTTAACCATATGGAAACTCACACCACATCCATCTTGCCACCTTTTACCTCCACATCCTGCTGTCAGCTACAAAGACCACCACACACTAAAAGACAGTTGTTTCCAGTGAGGTTTGTGTATAGATTTTAATATCATAATTATGGCATGTAAACAAAATACCACTTCGTTATTGAAACCATACTGACTGAAGCCAAGCTCCCATGCGAGAGAGACATCTGAGTTTAATTGCTGTTAAACCTCTGCAAATGTACTGTCAGTAAGGCACTGGAACTATTTAACACACAGATCAAAACAACTACTGCAATCTAGAGCTGGTGCTGGAGATGAATCAGGCTGGGTTTCGCCCATCTCACTGTACAACTGATTGTCAGTGGGATGCTTGCTGCATTTTGGCAGCTGGTGGGACTGTGCTGTGCCCGAGATGTCCACCTCTGACCATTGCTCCTGGCCTCAGCCCCATCCAGTGATTTCACGCGAGCTGTCCTCCTCATGGGAGCTCAGATGAGACGCAATTCCTCCGAACAACCCTGATCTGGGCTCTCTCATAGCTGGGAACAGCAGTGCAAGTGCCAGCAGGGCCACGGGTCCTCTGTAAAGACAAGATGGAGGCGGTGCTGGCCTTGTGAGGGATGCCCACGCCTGTGACAGCCCCGCTGCCTCTGCGGCTGCTCTGTCACCGACAGCTTGGTTGCTGGGCTCTGCTGATGACATCTGGAGCTATAGCATATACAAAGGACTATACAAAGCAAAAACATACACACGAGAATGAGATTAGGCTCTTTTGAGCCTCTTCCAGGCCCAGCCTCCCCCAGAGCTCGCTCTTTGCGTGTTTTGCTTCACTCACTCAGAGGAAAAGAGCTTGGTTAGAGAAGAAAGAAGAGGCTATTTCACAGATTAATCAAACCTAGATCTGATCCAGGTGCTGCTTCCCAGGTCTGTTCAGAAGGGCCTGGAGCAAGGGGCAGCAGCAGCATGGTGGCACTGCTGGGGTCTCAGCTTGGGAGCTCCCGGCCATGGCACCATGCTTGGCTGCTGGTGAAGACAGATAGAGCACCTCATTTCTGGGCCTGGCCCCGCTGTCTGCCTCCCCAAATGAGGCTACTGCCTCTTCAGTAGCCCTCTGTGAAAATGCGGGGTGCTGACATCTTCATTTCTTCAGGGAGCCTCAAAAATATCTGAACATCAGGCTCCAAGTGAAATCCATGAGATCTGGAAATAAGCAGGCCTGTGCTCCCACACCCAGAAGTTTGGGGGGGCTCGCCTCTGCCTCCCCCCAGCCTGTGCTCCCCTGTGGCATGGAAAGCCAGGGGGGTTTTGGGGGGAGCTAAGGGGGAAGGTTGTGCTCAGAGGAGATGCAACATCAAAGTCCTGGCCACACACAGCAGTAGATATTCTACAACTTCTTCCTCCTTTTTTTTTTCTTCTTCTTTTTTTTTTCTTCCTTTTTACATTTTTTTTTTCCACAGCGATGGGGTGCCACCCTTGTTGGTTTTGGCAGTTCCCAGTGGGAATAATTACATCGTGCATGCCTTAAATTCCCTCTTTTGCAATGACAACTGGATGCAATTTCCTTAGAAGCCTCACAAATGAAGCTCTCACATGGTTGGAAGCCATTCAGTGAGTGCTGCAATGTGTTCAGAGGTGGCTGCCTCTCAGCAGGACCCCAAGTGATTTCTAGAAACCTTTCCATAGCCTGTCAGGCTTTTTGGGACCCACTGCGTGGGCAATACACCGAGTCCTGGGCAGGACCTTTCAGCTAAATGCCAGCGTGTCATTTCTACTCCGCAGAACACTGAGATAGCTTGGTTGGAGGCACACTCATGTAAGACAGTGTGAAATGCAGACCTGAAGTTTTAGAGGTTTCACATGTGTTTGGGATTTGGCTCAGGAAATGCCAAACCAGAACCGAAACCTGTGCTTGAGGTTTGATTCTGGTTCACACTTAACATAAATATTACTCCTGCTGACCAGACATTCCCCTGAATATCTCCACAGCGCTAAGGACAAGTCTCTGCAAGGTTTTCACAACACTGTGACCGTGACAGCAAAGGACTTGATACAGCCCAGAGGGTCCCTTCCATTTGTGTTGTCCTGTGGTTATGGAGCAAGGCTCACCACAACGAGCTGCTTAGGGAATCCTGCATACGGCAGCAAAAAGCTTCAGCAGCTGGTGTTGTGGAATTACTGGTGAGACCACATACATGTGCACCACGATGGGATGTTTGGTCAGAAGAGGCCATAATCTTTTTGATCCCGAGACATGGAGGAAAGGATAAATACTTCCTCCAGCAAAAGGCTGGAGGGCATGGAGCAAAATGGCCTCCTGGCTATGGGAAGCGCCACCTCACTCCTGCCTGCCATGCTCTGCTTGAGATGGTCAGCGTATGTGTTATGTATTCTCCAGACTACTCCTGTTACCTGTGGCTTGCAAAGTCCTTCATGCCAATGCCCCACCAAAATGCTTGAACAGCGAGGGACAGTCTGCAGGGAGCTACCAGTGTGCTAATGAAAAGGCATGATAACCAAAGAGGCTGAGTGAGGTCCAGCTCCTTCCACGTGAATGTCCGAGTGACCTGTGAAACGTACAGCCAGAGAGGAGATGAGGGAGGATCGGGAGAAAAGACAGTGCAGCAAGGACTCAAAAAGCAAGGTCCTTGGGAAGGCAGGTGACAGATAGAGGGGGAACAATGTGTGTTGTGGTTGGAAGGAAGGGGTAAAAGAAAGAGAGGGCACAGTTGTGTCATTTGTAACAGATATTTAATTCCAAAAGCCCAACTTTCTCCCTGTCTGGGGAACACAGGAATTAGCTCGGTTATTAACCAAACACTTAGGCCTAGCTGGAAAGTGCAGTGCAGTTATTTGGAGCAAGTGAGGCCTGGCCAGCTCACCCCTCTACTTGAGGACATGAGCATTGCCACCAGGTCTCTAATGCTCCTGGGGGCTCACAGGACATCTCTCTGTGTCCAGGCCTTGTATGAGAGCCCCGGCCAGCCACCACGTTGGGGGGCTTGGCGGGTGGACCACTGTGAAGAGATGCCATCACAGCCCCTGAGCACAGCTGGCAAGGAGCTGCCTGGAGGGCAGGAGCGTGTGGAGGGGTAGGCATAGCCTGGTGGTGGGCAGCGGGGACATTTTGGGACCATGGGATCTACTGACCCAAGGGGCTGCCAACCCTATTCCTTCCCAGTCCTCTCCCTCAGCACTTGGTAAGCAGCGCTGCCTTTCCAACAGCTGGGCACAGCAGTGGCACGCAGGTACTGCTGTGTTCATGTTGATGTTGATGTTTTTACCATTTTCTGGCAGCAGCAGCGTCCCGTGTGTCCATATGGCAGGGCAGCCACTTCTCCTCATGCAGCACAGCATCTGCCAGCCATGGTGCCTGCAGTCCACCAGGCGTCCGGAGCTGCTCAGCGGATGGTGCAAAGTGCAATACAAAACCCTCCTACACACGCATTCCTACGCATGCAATCAAAACTGGGGGGAATGCGAAAAAATAAACAGACACTCAAAGCTGAGCTTAATTTTCCCTTGGATCTAAGCACAAATCACTGCGGTGACTGCGTCCTTCAGTTTATTCAGAGAGGGCTGGGCAGAGCTTTGAGTAAAACACATGCAGAGATGCTGGCCTAATGCATATAAGGCTCTGTGGAAACTATGCAGAAGGGGCCAGGAGCAAGGTAAGCATATGGTTTTGTGGTGACTCAGGTGCTCCGAGCCAAACCCTGCCCTGCCATCTAGGACTGTACAATGCCTGAGGGCTGCTGTTGGCCTTTGAGGAGTTCATCAAGGCTGTGCTGTATTTCTGTGGGTGCTGCAGGCTTGTGTTCTGCACAGTACTGCAGGCTGGTGCTGTGGGATGCTGGTGGGTTAGGATTTATGGAGAACTGGGGACAGGGGAAGAATGTCTCAGTGTCAATATATCCAGTAGAAAAAACATCTTTCTGTCTACAGGGTGGGAGAGGGAAGGTACTGGCCACACTCAAACCCAAGAACAGCTACAGGATATGATAGCTTTCTGATCTGTCTGGTCTGCTTACTTGCTGTGGAAAGGAAATTTGCCCCAAAAGGAGGGAAGCAGGGTGAGTTGTCTGTGGTTCTCACATATCCCTCAATGATTACTTATTCTTGGAGAGCATCCCTACCCACCCAGTCATCAAAGCATCAGGTACTGATAGCCTGAGTGCTGACCTGGGGCCACCATAGCCCAAAATAGAAGAGTTCACTGCGCTGTGGCCCTCATGAACATTGGCAGTGTTTGGAGATGCAGCCCCGTGCTGGTGGTGCCTGTGTGGTCTAATTACCCTTTATTGCTACTCTCGCCTGACTGCTTACTTGCATGTTAATTTATTTGTCCCAAGATGCGCTTGCGCATCTGTTCCTTATTTCCTGTGTATGCATTTGTTTTCTTGCTAAATGCTGAAAGAAAAGGAGATGAAATGTATTGAAGATCTTGATTTACAGCTTCAGTCTTTCCCTAAATCTGTTAAGAGCTGTGTTCTCATCTCCCCCTCCTCTCTAACCTCCCTGATCGAAGGATGACATCCAGTGAAGGCATAGCAAGCTGTAACATGGACATGCAAGCAGAGACAGACCCCTGTTACTCTACCAACCACAGCAGATAATGGGAATTATGGAAAAACAGACCCAACACCTGATCCTGGGTGTATTTCTTGCAATGTCTTTACCCACTGTTGCAGCACTGCACGCTCACTGTTCAATTCTTCCACCAACCCTCCCACATCACGCCAGGGCTGATGACAGCACAGGCGATGTGCAGGGGCTAGCTCAGGATGTAACTCGTCTGAAGCAGGTGAGAGCTGCTGTGATGAGGGGCTGGAATCACCTGCAGGAGGGCACGTCCAGGAAAGGTCACTGGGACAGATCCCCCTGCACCAGTGCCACTGAAGACCTGCAAGCCGTCTCCTGGCAGGAATTACACCACTCTTGAGCTCACTGACCCATTTCTCCTACGCTTACCCCAGGCCTTTCCTCACAATGCCACTGAAAAACCACGAACTGTCACAGGAATGGCATTTCTCAGCTTCTAGAACGATCTGAGTTTTACGATGCTGCCAGTTTGAACAGGCTGTGCTAAAATCACTCGCCTCACTTGACACCTGCCTGGGCTTGGGCTGGGAGAGGAAGCAGTGAGAGCAGCCTGTGCCCGCCAACCACCCTTGGCCTCTTTGGGGCATTTTGCCACAGCACGGCTCAAACCTGCGTGTGCTGGGGCCCGGCGGAGGCAGGAGGAGCTGGAGGCCCTCTGGAGGAGGCAGCACAACTGGTGTTCCTGCCTGGACTAATTCCTGTGGGGGGGACGGAGGGCAAACACCCCTCACCTTCAGTTTCACTGTGTGCCTTTCAGAAGCCGCTCCCTCACCCACAACACGCAAAATCTGCCTGGCAGGCTGGCAACTGCAGCATGGAGGAGGGAGGGATCCTGCGTGCCTCTGGTGTCCCTCCTGGCAAAGCCAGCCTGAGCTATTCATCGCAATACACGAGCTGTGGACCTCTGCAAGGTTTCCCTTTGCCCTGGCTTGTCCAAGGGCATGAGCCTACCCGAACCATCCTCTGATGCCACCTGAACCCAGCCCCTGCATGGAAAAACGCCGGTCGTGCCACAAGATGAAGTGAAATATCATTTCCCAGCTTAGCAGACAGATTTGTTATGTATACAATGAATTACCAGCTCTTTCAGTGCAGTAATTGTTCACACATTGTTTCCCTGCCTCTTTCACTATTTTTTTTGTGATTCATGCTGTTTGGTTGTCCAGTTGACATTTCCAAAATGAAGTTTTTAAGCCCCAGCCTTTCTCCCCTCTGCGCTCCCCTTTTTGTTTGCCTGGTTTATGGGCCTGAGAGAAGTGTTTCCAATCACGATAATATCTTCATGTTTTGTTGACAAAAGGTCAACCTAGGAATAAGTCAAACTGGTTTTAGGAAAAATATTTGCTTATTTAGTAAGGGGATGTGTGTTGGAGATCAAATTTATGAGGGTGAAATTGAGTCTGGTTATTTAAAGGACTCTGAAATAAGAGCTTCCCACCCACTCACCAGGGGAAGAACAAGAGCTATAAATTGCTTTAGGCTGGAGGGAATGCAGAAATAAACTCAGTTTCTGTGCAAAAGGTAATAGGATCCAAAGCAAGAACTAAAAACAGAGCTCAACTGACAACAGCCCGTTCACTCCCTCACACGCAGCCCTCATTCCACACTATCGCTCCTTACAGAATAAAGGTCATAACTCTCCTCAATAGTTGAGCATCCACTTCCACAACAACCATCCTCACCCACTGGCCAGACACTTACTTGGACTTACATGCGAAAGATACAGAGGTTTGGTCCTGGAAATCTGTTTTGTAGCGTGCTTTTTTTTTTTTTTTTTTTTTTTTGTGTGTGTTTGACTTCAAATTATAGTTCTAAATCAGATATTGGGAACACTTCCATGAGCTTTGGGCATGCCAAGAACCCTACCGAGTGCCGGAGGAACCACCTCTTCATTGAACTTTGCACAAGCAGCACCGCTGAACGAATACGTCTGGAGGATCGTGGTAAAAGGACTTTTCTCTTTTCATTGAAAAGACAAGCAAATAGCGCAACAGGTTAAGTCTCAAAGAACATGAGTTTGAAGAGAGGAGGTACTATATACATAATTATTTTGAAATATGTATATTTATATGCACATGTATACTTATATGCACATATACATGTATGTGTTTGAATAATTGAAGCTGAAAAAGCCCTCCGGGGGTGATCTAGTTTAGCACCCAGAAAACCAAGCCAAGTTAGGTGGCATTGCTCAGGCCCTTGTCCAGCCAAGTGTTGAGCCCCTCCAGGTGTGGAGACCCTACACCCCTCTGGGCACCTGCTCACCCTCATGGGGAAGACTTTTTCTTAATATCTAACAGGAATTTCCCTTCCTGCAGTTGTGACTGCTGCCTCTTCTCCTAGCACATATAGATACATGCATATACACATGCACACAGGTATGATTTCTTATGCTCCTTCTTCTTCTATGCATCCAACAGACAGCAAGCTAAGCAAAGCCTTGGTCTGGCCCAGTGCAGCTATTCCTCTTCCTAGTAAGCTCCAAGCAGCTGCGGAAAGTCTGTCATTTTCCTCCTCCTCCCCCGGCTTTTGCACAGCTTCAATTCCTTTGTATTATTTAGACACGTGCCTCCCTCATGGCTTGGGACATGACTTTTCTTTCCTCCTTAAACATGAAAAAAAAAAACCTGCTGGTCAGGTCTTATTGATGCTGGATACTTGCTAAAAAACACAGCAACATTAAACAAGTCTCTGCACATGGTATGGAGACAAATCGCTCTTATGGAGTTTAACGGGTTTGGGCTAACCCTACAGCCATTACAGATTTCAGCAGGACACAGATAGAGGGGAGGGAGACAGAGCAAGGAAATCTGATTTGCTGTAAATGTTGTATTGTTTTTAGACAAGATAACGATATTGGCTATAGATACCTGCATCTCTCTCTCTCTCCATAGCCACCACAGAAGTTTTTCCATAGTCATTTCAAGCGTAGTTTGTATTCTGCCTTTTCCTGCAGAAGAGATCCAGTCATCCTTTCGACTCTGCCTCCTGCCCCGAACACTACCCACATCTTCAGGGGGATAAGATGCTTGATGGCACCTTTCAATCCAGGCCAACAAAGCTCTTCACAAATGTGGCAAAGGCCTAGACCCCATGCCAGCATCCCTCAGAAAGACCAAGGTTTCACTCTCTGGGTGCATCTGCATTTCTGTGAAGCTGACCACATTTTACTGCTGGGCAAATTAGGCAAAGAGAAGAAGATGCTGTAGGAAAGTCAGATGCTGCTAATAAGCCAGGAGTTGATTCTGCCTGGGCCTGAGCCTAAACCTTTTAATACTTATCTACATATTTTGAACAGCAGAAGAGAATTTGCAGATCATCAGTGCTTCACGGTGTGTTTCCTCGTGTGACGGCTTCACAAGCACAGATGACAGTTCTCAGGCAAATCTGCTAATTTGGAGAGAAAAAACGGTTTCGTCTGTTTTGCGGTGAGACACCTGAGAAGCCAAAAGGGCTGTTTCAGGAGGAAGCACAGAGAAGGTCTGTGTGCTTACAGCTGTGCTTTCAATGCTGGAAAATAAATCATCTTTCCATGACAGACCCCATTATAATTACCTTAGCATGGAAGAGCAATGAGGATGTTCCTGACTTGCGGGTTGCTGTTTTGTGAAGAGGTGCAATGGGAATGGGGTGGTTAATTGTATTTGGGGAATAAGGAGATGAATGACTAAGCTATGAGATTTCACACCAATATTCCTCCACCTTGTTGCAAAGAAATGTCACCCCACCCTACCTTGAGATGATGGCTCTGTCATTTCCCCCTGAAGAAACGTAGGAGAGCAGATCTCAGGACTTCCCTGACTCTGCTCTGATTAGGGAGAAGAAGGCAGGGATGTAGCTACCCAGTTACCTCTCCTCGTGCCTGCTCTTTCTGCCTGTTCAGTACCAGCAGCCTGCAGTTTGGGAGCTGACCCTTCCAGCTGACGCCTGGCCAAGGTGAGCACGCACACTGCAGAATCAGCCTGGGGCTGGATCTAAACCAGGCAGAACCTGGCTTACCCGGGGAGTTGGCTACCTTGTCCTGCACTTGATGGCTCTCTGGAAAAAAGCTCCAAGAAAAAAGGGGCAGCTGAGAGACCCAGCAAAATAAATATTTGGTTCAGGTTCCACTGCGACCGAAAGCCCCACTCAAAACCTCAAAATACAGATTCAGGTTCAGTTTCTGCTTGGGGAGGTGAGGGTGAGGAAGAAGAGCATGGTTTAGACTGGTTTCTGGCTCAGTTCACCCCCTTGCAAAATCATTTGGGCAACTCAGGAGCAGGATAGAAGGAGGAAGGGAATGTTCTGGAGCACAGCTACGGTGGAGGTGGGCTCGAGGACGAAGATTAATGAAGGAAGTGGCTCAACACAACATGATTCTGCCCCACAGGGGAAACTTGAGCTGAACTCAAAGTATGGGCAGAACAGAGGAGCACCAGCAGCAAAGCAGGCCAGATTAAATCTGGTGGGGGAAAAGACACAAGCTCAAATGAAAAGCTATTTTTCAAGGAAAGGTTTCAAAATGTATATGGTTAAAAAAAAAAAAAAAAAAAAAAAAGGTGTCTGCTAGTCCCTGGATTCTGCACAAAAATAAATTAATCCATTGCCAAACACAAGAAACTGTAACGACCTACTTGGTAGATCTTTCCCTTTTGGAACTGACTTGACTCTGCTCCACTTGTATTACATGTGCCAGCTCTTACGGTTTCCTTACTTATGAAGACTTCACAGTTCACGTGGACATTAATTTTTGTCAGAGTCCATATGTTGCTTTTAAACCAAAGTACTGCACACGTTGCGTGCTGGCCATGTGGCCAAGACCTCAGCAAATGTAGAGGGTAAAACATGATTCCTACAAAAAGGGGGGACTCGGTGCTTTTGACTCAAGACTGTGGGAGCTGCTGAGCCATCTGCAGTGTGTCCAAGCACTCTCATCACTTGGGTCAGCACAGGTGGGTTTTGACCTCCTATCCCAGCAGCCTAACATCAACTCAGCTTCCCTTGAGCAATAGTCTGCCAGATGGAGCCATATCATATGCTATTCTTAGCAGGAATAACTCATTTCTAGGTGTTACAAGAAACTGGATCTGAAATAGGTACTCAGCATAAACAGACGCCTCTCTTGAAATGCCCAGACTGCAGTTTCAGCACATTGCGTCCAGCAAAAGCATAAAGTTGAGTTTCAAGTGGTTTAACAGGTCAAAAGAGAAAAACAAACCAATATATTCATGTTTGAAAGTGTGCATACACCTGCATATACATCCACCCAGCTGCACAATCAACAAAACACTTCCACAATTTAAAAGCATAACTAAGCCAATCAGGCTGATATATAGCCCTTCCCTCTAACTTAAAGCATGCTTTCCACATCTTCCCTTACATCCACTCTGAAAATGAGAGCTCCTAAGACAGCACTTCATTTTCAGAATGTAAAAAAGAAACCTAAAACCCCCATATCATGTCTGCAGCTATGTGCGGTGTGTGTGGATAATTCTGTGCCCCAGGACAGCAGAATGTGCGCTCTACAGATATCAAAATATATAGTGCTTTACGCACAGGCTGCGAACCAAAATGTCTTGCAGCCAGCTGCCCAAATATTAGGTGCTCCTGGACCTTAGGGCATTGATGCCCTATAAATTTAGGAGTATTTATTAGGTGAATACAGAACTGGAAGTTTTGTAGCAGTGGAAAATAAGCATGATAATGAGGTAAACACATGTTGCAAAGAAAATACCAACTAATCGTGTGATCTCTGCAGGAAATAGCAGCTTTAAGCAGTCACTTCTTGAATGCTGGAGCAAGGCCTGCGAGCTGGCTACAGGATGGTGCACTTGTTAATAACATCCCTCTGCGTCCTGACATTTTTTCCAGTACTGTAAACCCAGGTTGACAAGAAAGTAACCAAAAGGTGTTTTGCTCCTTTGAAGGCTTTGAATGGCCGTGTGAATGCTCCTTTCCATTCCAGAAAGGAGAGAGCATGGGCCTAGTGTCAGTTTTCTTTAGAGAAATGAGAAGCAGTATTTTTCAGGGGCCCACAGACAGCCTCGGTTACAGCTGGGGTTCCCTTCTTGCTGGCAGAAGAGACTTGAGGTACAGTGAGGTCTGTGCATCGTGAGCTCCATCTGGAGGTTGCTTGTTCTAATCTGTGCGTTTTGAAAGGAACGGAGAGAAAATCCAACAGTACTGGGTCAAAATCAGCAAGCTCCTTCTGCAGGAAGCTCACAAAGCACTTGCTTGGGGTGTAGAGCAAGTTCCTGATGACTTAATGCCAGATATCCAGACCTGACGATTATGCTCAGCTCTGCTCTGAAGCTGTCAGCATGTACAGGACTGCCGGGACAGGACTGCATTTGGGGTGAGAAACTTCTGTGAGCTGTGTCATACGCTCTAGAATCACACCCATAGCTGGACATATCGCTTGCCACCTCTGCTTGCTGCTTGCCTGGGCACTTAATGTGGTCAGGAGCGTAAGGTGCCCCAGCCCCAGGCCGCTGTGCAGGTCTGGGGGTTTGCACAAGGCCTAACTACTTACAAAGAAAACACCACAGGGTATTCAGCTATAATTTTACACGAAAAGTGCAGGATTTATGTGGGAAAAGCACCTCAAGTAGTCCAGAGGCTGAACCTGCTGAAGTTTAAGAGCTGAGCTTCTCTAGTACTGTAAGGCCACGAGCTGCAATGGCAGCTTGGTTGTCAGCCAGCTGTGGAGAGAAAAAATGGCTGTGTAATTAATTGCCCAGGGTGGTAAGCTGATGTGCAGAGAAGTACCCAGCCGGAGTTTACATTTCATAGACTCTTCACATTTTTTACCCATGAAACTAAGCAGCCTTCTCCAAGTGTTGGGTATCGAGGGCTGCATGGGTTATTTCCTCCATTTTTTCAGCACCATTAAGAATCAGTTATGTAGGCCTTCTTCCACGGCAGGGTTGTAACAGGGAGCACCGCATGCCGCTTAGGAGAAAAAGCAGGTCTTGACACATACACAGACCATCAGGAGAAGATTTTTGACTTGCAACAAGAACTGGTTAATATTGCCAACAGGATATAAAAAATTTGAGGCAGAGCACACAGGAATAAGATCACAGTGATGACCCATCACACAGGCTGTGAGAAAGAGGCTGATGAAAAGGGGAAGGCTTATAGCTGTACAGATCCCTTTTCATATACTGTGGTGGCCTCTCCTTTCCTGGCCACATACTGGTTTATGGCTATCTTTAGAGAAGAAAGAGATATTCAATCTCCCCTATTCAGTGATGTATGTACCTGGCTGAAAAGGGAAAATATTCAGATTTGTCCTGTTACATGATGGTGGGTATCAAGTACAAACCTGATTTCTGAATGGCAAGACAATCACTGATGGGGTGCCAACAGCTTTCGAATGGGTGATTTTTCCACAGCTGATACAGCTACCATGGCATTTACTGGAACCATCCTGTGGGGACCACCTTTGGGTATTCGTAACACACAATGCAACAAAAGATGGACCACCGACAGAGAGCGGGTTTTAGCATCAGATCTGTATGGGAGCACAAGCGAGCTGCTATGAAAAGAAACAGATGGGGAGCTCATGGGCTTAGCCAGCACCAACTGCCCAGGCCTTGATCCCCAGAGATGTGCTTGTTGGCAGCAGGGCAAATGCAATTTGTCTGTACTACAAAGCAGCCTCCCAATGAAAAGATACAGCTTTATGCATACTATGATTTTGCTAGTTTCTATCCTTTCATAAGCAAAAATAACACCCTCTAGGGAACCCAGAAATCATTGTTTTGAGACTTGACATGCTGGCTGCCTATTTTGCAGTAAGGGTGTACCCACCTGGTGGGCTCTTTTTTTCTGTTTCCCAAGAGGATAAGTAGTGAACTGTTGTTTCTCCTGTCCTGCACCTGTGCAGGCCCTCTGCATCCACAGTGATTAAAATGAAGAGCCCTTGTGAACACCTGGAATTGAACTAGGCTCTGGAGAAAGTCTGCTGAGATTACAGCATAAATCGAGATTGCAACAACCCTAAAAAGTGCATAGCAGAGCAGCTCTATCACCAGGAGCAAGGAAAGGGTGAGAGAAACCAGGCCTGTCAGAAGGTGCAGAATGTGGTCTATGGTCCATGACAAGAGACCAAAATTGCTTTTGGTCTCTGCTTTTGCTCAGGGGCAGCACTGGGCTGGAATGGATCCCTAGGCAGAGCAGGGGAGGGCCCAGGGGTGGCTGGGCAGGGACAACCGGGCCCAGCAGTGCCCAGGGGGCCAGCAGCCCCATGGTGGCCTCCTGGCAGAAGCCCACGGCCCTGGGGCATGCTCAACCTCCTGGCACCCCAAGCTGGACCTGTTCTCTAATCCCAGCAAGCAGGGCACCCAATCCTGCCCTCTGCCTTTGTTCAATACCTCCATTCACATGTAAACTTTAGTAAGAGTTCAAGAAATGGATAAAGTGCTAATCCAGTTTATACCCACACATTTAAATCATGTGTGCTTTTTTCTAAATGTATGCAATATGTACACAAGTACACATTAGAAGTAAATCCATGCATAATATATATATATATTTGTACTCTCCTTCAGATACCTATATTCATATACACAAGAGAGAAGAACATCTATTGTTACACATTAGCATTTCCTGCTCCAAAGAAAATGGGCAACCAGTCAGAATGGGATGTCTTTTGTCATCCTTTGATAAGGTGCCTACTCCCACTTTGAACATTGCTTTATTCTTGCCTCTAATATGCTTTGGTGCCGAAGAGTTAGTTATTCAGAGTTACAAACCTACATTCTTTATAAAGTGCTGAAATTGCATGAAAGTGGCTCTTTGTTCATGGACTGTGAGAGGTAAAGAACAGGCTACAATATAAGCAGACTTTTGCAGGTTATCCTTTCATCATTTCTTCTGTTATCCTCTAATTTGAGATGGGCAGTGCCATACTCTGCAGTTCTTCAGTGCTTCTACACCTTTATAACAGTGTTCTCCTCCCTCCTAGTCCCCTTCCTATCAAGCATTCAGCAACTGTATTCAAAAACCTCTGTTGGGGAGGACTGAAACACTTTTTTCTTAAAGTAGAAGTCTCTGCGTTCTCCCCCCCCAACGAAAAATGTGTTTTGGATTCCATTTGCCTTGATTATATTTTCAAATAGCAGCAACAGAAGCAAAATGGTAGCGTGTCTCATTTTAATTGCCTAAAACCAACATGAATTCAATTTATCAGTCCTGTAAGCATGGAGTGTTTTTTTTTTAATATACTTAAAATATTTTTTATATTTTTATTTACAAAAGGATAAACAAGTCTGTGGTTTCACACTAAACAAAAAGAACAAAGCTAATAGCAGAAGAAAGAGAGAGAAGAATGCGTGGGCTCAGGAATCTTTAAAAAAAGTATTTGGAACACAAGCAACAGAGGACACACAGGGATGGCTAACAGCCAGCACGGCTGGAATAGGCTCTGAAAAAAACATCTCTTTTATCCCTCAGTAACGAGTGGACTCAATAAAGAGTCCGAAGCAGAGCAGTCCTTCAAACCTCAGATCTGCTTTCTGGAGCTTGAAGCTTAGTAGCCATACTTTTCGTTGAGGTGAGTCTTGCCATCACCGCTCTGACCTAATGGACAAAGATAAAAAGTTACTTTAAAGAAAAAACAAATTAACTTAAAAACAAACAAACAAAGAAAACACCATAAGAACCATACAACCAACCAACAACGAACAAAAAAACACACCAAAAATTAGTCCAATACAAGTTTACAGGACAAGTATTAAATAGTCTCTAGGCAGCACCTGTCAGATAGGCATAAACCCAGACAGGATATTACAGTCCAAATTGTCTTTTTATTTATAATTCCTTAACATTACTAACACTGTCAAGATTACATCATCTATTCATGCTTTATTTTATTATTTTTTTCCTGGTGTACTATTTATGCCAACTTAGAAGATAAATCTGGTTATTAGCAGGTAGAGACAAGAAAAGGAGCTCCCTCTAATGGACGCAACTCTCTTGGCTACCCTAAATCAGACCTCTGGGTTGGTTATTGAAGCAGGCACTTTGCTCCAGCTGATTCACATGCCAGGAAGGCTTCACCAGGTTATAGTTTTTCTTCAGTGAAATTTATTCTCTTTTTTTTTTTACTTCCTTTAGAGCCTTCCCACATTATCAAGTTGCAACAGCTTCAGCAAAAGTTATAATGATGAATCTACCAAATGAAAGCTAAGCTTTGATCTTACGATGAAAACTTAAATGCAAGAAAATAAATTTCCAGTTTTGGAGCCACTGGAAATTCAATACATTCTTTAAGAGTAACCCCACTTAACTAAAAACACTCTAGAACTAAAATCAAAAAAGTTCAATTTTAACATGTACTAAATGTGTGTATCAATTATTCAGCATCCTCAAAGAGTTAGCAAGACTTTTCTTCAAAGTACGACCCAAAGTCTGTATTGCAAAAAGCTGCAGAGGATTTTCATATGTCACAAGCTTCTATGAAAATTGAGAATACTAATATTGCTGGGGCATTTATCCTTGGTGAAGCTTTGAGCTTTTCTTCTAACTAGATACCTGTATCACTATATGTGAATGGAGTTAGGTCTCTCAAATGTTATAGAAATGAAAGACAAACTTCAGGTGCACCTGTCCACTGAGATGAAGCTGCTACAGATAAGGTCAGCATTTCACAACAAGCATTGCATGGAGATACAAGAAGTAAATACGGGGCATAACATGCCAAAAACCATCAGGTTCTCAATAAGTATTCCCACATTACTTTTTCCCCCTCAATGCATTACAAGGACACCCTGACTACTTGTTAGGTATATTCTTGAGTTATAGGAATAAAACCCAAAGAAATTGTCAATACCTGCAGGAGGAACCCACATGCAGTAATCTGGGTCATCATCTGGGTAATGAGAAGAAAAAAAAGGTGGCTGGACCTGCAAAAGGAGAAAACATTTTTAAGGTGCTGCACCCTTTCAGCAATGCGTCACAGCCACTAAGTCTCTCAATTATTCAAAAGACAAATGCTGAGTAGTGGGGGTTATTTTTACATGGCCATGGACAAAAAAATATAGTTTAGAGGAAAGAAAAAAATATAGTAAACTCTCAAATTGATCCAATTTCTTCCCAGTATAGTCACAGAACCATAGAAACATTGGTTAGAAAGGACCTCTGAAGATCAACGAGTCCAAACTCCATCTCAAAATAGGTCCATTGCCAACACCAAATCAGGTCATCCATGGTCTTCAGAGAGTGGATCTGGGCAGACTAGTGAGGGGAGATAAATGTAGTGCAAAACTCTACAGCTTTACTGAAGCACTAACAGAAGTGCATATGACAACTTTCGGTTTCAAAGAAATCTCTCCCACTGCTTTCCACAACTCCAGTTCTGAACATTTTAATTGCCTCATCCTAATGTTTGTTACTGTCATTCGACACTGAGTTTCTTTACACAGGGAAAAGCTTTAGAGTAGGATTTTTAAGAAGTGCTTTAGTGATTTCAAAGCACAATCCCACTGAAAACTTTAGGTTTAAGGTGACTTTTGAAAGTATATAAAGTATATAAAAGTTCAGCTATGTTGTATAAGGGTAACTTAGCTTTTCAAAAGACAAGAAAACCCATTTTATTCAGGTCTCACTGGCATCACTGAAATGTTTAAAGCAAACAGAAACAGGTCACTTGCAATTCAAATGTTGACACAGCAATGTCTCTTTATCCCCAGCTTTTGAAGTTTTGCCACATTGGCATCATTTTCTCAAGTTTTGTTTTCAACTACTGCAGGTAGCTAACAAAAAAAGTCTCACTCTACAGTTTTTTGATTTTTTATGAGCTCAAAATGTGCCCATGTTACTCAGCACTGATTTGCATTACTCTGTAATATCATGACACAGTCCTAAATTATGCAGTTGAAGCAATTTTTCATTCCCTCAAAAATCAAAACAAACAAAGAAACAGAAAAACAATTTCCCTTCCCCAAATTAACCTCTAAAAGAGTTCGTCGTATCACTAATGTTTTGAAAAACATTAGACTGTGGAGTTGAACAGTTATTAAGTATGACTTGTGAACAGCCACTTAAAAAATAGATTTTTTCCAGTTTTGCATTATTCAAAGTTATTCCTCAAACATGAGAAGAGAAAAAAACATAAGGAGAATTCCACTTGATACTTTCCATGCAAGAAAATGAGCCCAATGGCAGACAGGGCATGTGGAAAAAGTGATTTGTAATGGGAGAGAGAACACAGCTAAGCCATCTGGTATTTGGGGAATGCTCAGTGTTAGAGTGAACTCTGTGCTGATGGGAGGTGCTGACTTGACTGCCTCAGTGTGAATGCAGGAGAACAAGGCAGCTTCTCATAGAAAGGGTATACATTGGGCTCTAACAGAGTAAATTTACTCTTGCTTTCTTTATCAACGTATTTTAGGCCAGCAACAAAGAATAATACTAGAGGCTGTGCCTACCCAGTCCTTGGGTCCTCTGCCAAGAGCAGCAAGAGCAGCAGCAGCTAGCACACACATGCTTCAGGGAGTTAAGTTTCTCTAAGCAGGTGGAGCAGGACTAAAATTCAATGGTCACCACAAAAAAATGTCCTAATGCTCAGAACTCATGGCCCATCAACTACAGTAATCTTCTTTGATGGGAAGAGCCTCGCAATAAACACCAGGCTAAGAGCATGCCATCAGAGAAGTTTCTTCCCAATTCCAGCAATGCAACAACTACCTGTGTCCCAAAATGTGGAAGGCTCATATACTTTGCATTTTACTACAAATCTTATGAATGGGAAGCACAGCATGTACCCTCAAATTCAATAATAATGGGGTTGCAAAATACAATAGTCTTATTAGATATTTCTCTTACCATTATCTTACAGAGAAGGATGAAAACTACAGTTTTAGTCCAGCATGTTCTGTGTCAGCCAATGCATGCTTCCCATGCTACTCTCCATGAAAGTTTTGCAAAGTTACTTTGAAAGCCCAGAAGAGCACCAGTGTTCTACAACACTTGTGCTACAGGAGAAGACGCAATTCACAACAGCTGAACTTCAGCTTTGCCAAGTGAATAGCTGGAAAAATAATTCTGTGTTTCACTTGAGAACCTTTTTTATTTACTACAGCTTCACAGAACCCCTCTCTCATGCTTGAAATGCTCTGCGTTCTCACTGGAGACTCCAGAAGCTGTGTCCAAAGGTAGTGTGCAGTTCTACATTTGGGAAACACTCAGCAGAAAAGCACTACCATCACCAAAGGCACACTCAATCCAGTTGTTACTATTTCACTATTAAGGAGCTGACTAAATGATTCCTTGTAATTCTTAGGCTGTAGGAGTCACAGTATTGTAACTGACCTTGCTTGAGCTATTTGTTTTCTTAGCTTTCTCAGATGTCTCTTCAGGCTTCTTGCACAATGCCTCAGATGCTGACAAAAAAAAAAAAGTTTTATGACACATCATAAAATGACCAATTCTATCACAAATAAGCTTATAGAAAACTCACGTAAGGATGGATACTTCCAAAAGGAAATCCAAGACAACTCACTGCAAAACCATTCATATTTATGGCTGCTGAGCATCTTTGTTTTCCATAGATCTATTAACTCACGCTTAATACACTCACAGTCCCCAAACTGAATGCAGTTTAATGAGGTCCTCTATTTGGCATTCTGCAAAATCCTTTTAGTTAATGGCAGATGTTGATTTTCTATGAGAAACTCAATATCTGTAATCACTACGGTGACTGATTTAGACA